TCCGGGGTCCGGGGCGGGCAGTCCCCTTCCGAGGAAACTGAGGCTGAGGGCCGAGTCTACGGCGTCTCAGGACGCGTGTTCCCGCTGGTAACTGCCATGCCTACGCCCCCTCCGCCGCGCGCCGCGTTCCCGGAGCCGAGTGCGGTGCCTGCTCGCGTGAAGCCCTCGGGGCGACGCTCCCTGAATACAAACCTGGAATCTGAGCCCCCACCCTGGGCCCCTGACGGCTGAAATCTCCAGGGGGGATGAGCTGAAAAGTCGCAAACTCCGAGACTTACCCTTCGGGATTCCTGTAAAGAGCCTAGCACGGTGCCCGTCTCCTCCAAGCTTCTTGGGCTGGAGCGCAGGAAAGAGATGGTACTAAGAGTGTCTGTGCTTTCACAAAAACTGAGTACTGTAAGGAACGGTTTCTGTTTTCGTCTAAACACACCCACACATGCACACACACGCACACACACAGCCACTTACTCCCTATGAATTTGGGTATATTAATCTAAAGTGTTACAGAACTTAGTGTTGGGGTACTATTTTAGCTTGAAAGCTACAAACAACCTTTGTTTTTGTGAACCACCGATTTGACAAAGGCTCCTTCTCCATCAGACCTCATACTCGTAGGACTGATGGCCGAAGGAGGGGCGAGGCTGTCCACCTTTTTGGTCCGGTTTTGATTTTACTCCTCAAAGGGACCGTTTACGTTATCTATGTATTAGGGTCCCTTTATGTCTTAGACTCCCAGCTGGATTGTAAGAGCAGGGAACAATCATTTGCTTGTTTTTTAACCTGGAATGTATACGTCTCTCATCCACTTGAGGCCGAGCTGCTCTTCTCCAGCTTCTGAAAGGAAGGCCTCAGGTTCCCACCTGGATGGGAGATGTCTGCCTGTGGACAAGCAGAGAATCTTAGGAACCCCTAAGAGACTTCCTGCTATCTGTGGGAGGTTTACCAGAGATGGTCTCTGTGGGGCCTTTCAATTTAAGAGAAGAAGATTCATGCTAGACATGTTGGCTCACAGTTGTAATCCCAACACTTTGGGAGACCGAGGCAGGAGGATTGCTTGAGCCTAGGAATTCGAGACTAGCCTAGACACCACAGTGAGACCTCAGCTCTACAAAATAATTTTAAAAAGTAGCCGAGCATGGTGGTACATGCCTGTAATCTCAGTTACTAGGAAGGCTGAGGTGGGAGGATTGCCTGAGCTCAGAAGGTCGAGACTGCAGTGAGATGTGAGTGTGCCATTGCACTCTAGCCTGGGCGACAGAGTGAGGTCTTGACTCCAAAATACTACTTCTACTACTACTACTAATGATGATGATGGAGAAGGATTCAAAGAATTCTTGTCTCTAATCTAAAAATTCATTGATTCTCAGTCCAGTCCATGAAGTTCCTCAAGGATTTGGGCCATTCTCCAGGCCCATGTCTCTGGCCTCTCCCCCCCTTCCTCTCTGAACCAGTGTAAGTGAAAAGAGTAAGGCTATCTGACCTCACTCTTTTCATGTGCCACATCCTGTTTTCAGATTAATGAGCTCATTTGTTGGAAATTTACCAAGGGAAATAGTTTAATTTTGGAAAGTACCAAAAACTTATCTGTATTCATTCAGCTTGATTTTGGGGACTCTTGAAATAGAGGGGCATCACCGGAGGACCTCTGAACACCCGGGGATCAGCAAGGCCACAGAAAAGCAGAGCCCAGTGAGGCTGAACCTGCCTCAGAAAGGAAATAAAACATTTTGGAGGCCACTCATCTCTACCCAGTAGAATTTTTTTCCCCCCTGAAAATAAGTTTAAAAAGAGAAATAGTCCATCTGACCAAGGCCTCACATCTGGTGGTCTGAGCATGGGGCTATGATTGAGGAACAAGAAAACAAGCACAGGGAAGTAGGTAATGTTTGCGCCCCAGCCATCGCCTCTCGTCTATATATGTTCGGCTTGTTCTCAGAGGCACTTTCACTCCCCAGTGCTGCTCTAGTCTTTATCTGTTGGACCCTTGACACTGAAGTTGTCCACCTGGCCCTGTAGCCTTTTGAGCATCTACAGCCCAGAGGATGCTGGGTAATTAAAGATCTGTGAGCCATTCTACACTGAAGATGATAGAGCACAAGTGACTCCCTCAGACTTTGCCTCCAAGCATCTGACCACCTCCTGGCCTTACCGTGTTTCCCAGAGTAGAGACTGATAGTCCATTCTAAGTGTAGAATAATGTGAATGGAATAAGCAGATGAATCCAGTCAGCTAATGACAGCCGTTTCAGCATATCCTGTTTGTCAACAACCCTTCAAATGTGGAGCCCAGAATGGCTGTCACTCCCTCAACCCCAGTCTGCCCATATGTTCTTTTCATCGCCAGCGGTGTGCCGTGTCTCTGTCTTATGACTTTTATTTGGTAAAAACAATTGGTCTGGGAGAAACCCCTTATCAACAAGGGTGCCCGAACGAAGCATATCTGTATACCTAATCCTTAACTGTACCCCACAATATCAAAATTTAAAATATTGATATAAAATAAATAAATAAATAAATAAATATCATTGTCTTGCCAATTCAAAAAAAAAAAAAAAAACAATTGGTGAACAGCTTTCCTGTAAACATTACCTTAATCTCCCCAGATAACTTCTGATTCCTGAACCAGGACATTTAATTAAACAGGTGATTACTTGCTACCAGCAACCTACTAGATTAGAAGACCAAATGGTACTGGGTTCTTCAACCCAAATTCAATATCCCCCGCATGGTACCTTACATAGAATTGATATCAACAACAAAACAAAGAAATAGACCAAATGATCTTGCAAAAACTATCGCATATCGTATGTATTTTTTGCTTTGGTTTAATGATTAAAAATGTCCCAAGTTTCCTTCTGTTAATCTTCATTTTAGTTCTTAACTACACTTATAACTGGCAGTTTAAAAAATGTGGTTGTTTTTTTTTTCTACCTTAGTAGAATTATGAATATATGAAATTATATATATGAATATATTAAATTAAATGAATTAAAGTCATGAAAGTAAAGCTGTGTCTGATTTCTTTCCTATGAGCTAGGCTCATAGGAGACATTCAATAAGTATTTGTTTCATAAATACTGAATATGCAAGACACTATAAATAAGTTTTTACTTAACAGTAATTAATGATGATCTCACCATCATCTTTGACCTAGATTTTTCCTGTGTGTTGTGATGGTAAAAATAGCATTCTAGCAGAAATCTGGAAATAAATCTGGAGTTGTTTGTTGAAGGGAGTTTCTCAGTCTGGTGATTTTTCCCTATCTCAACAGATTTTAAGAAAAGAAAAAAAGAGCCGGGCTCAGTGGCTCAGCCTGTAATCCCACGCTTTGGGAGGCTGAGGTGAGTGGATTGCCTGAGCCCGCAGGTTCGAGACCCACCTTGGCAATTTGGCGAGACCTCATCTCTACAGTATATCAAAAATTAGCTGGACGTGGTGGTGTGTGCCTGTAGTTGCAGCTACTTGGAAGGCTGAGGCGGAAGGATCGCCGGAGCCCGGCAGGTCGAGGCTGCGGTGGCCAGGAGCGGCCACTGCACTCCAGTCTGGGTGACAGAGTGAGACTCCAACTCAAAAAAAAAAGAAAAGAAAAGAAAAGAAAAAAAGAACCTTTGAGTTTATTACAATTGTAAGCACCATGCCGCCCCTGGGTTTTTCTGTTTATGGGACTGGCTCTTTGAAGGTGCAATGTAGATTTCATTCACGATGAGGGTGCCAATGACATGGTTAAGTGATTTGGTCCAGGGGAAGAACTAGGCGGATGTATCCTGTGACAGGGACGAGCTGTAAGATGTCCATAACAAGGAAGGCAGGAAGGCAGGAAGGCCAGCCAAACTGCATTTCTTTGCCATCTCTGGCCACCCATGTGCCCTGTTCTAGGAGACTGGTTTTGCTATGTGTCAAGTCCTTCTCTCATGGATTCTGGAAACAAAGACTCTCCCAAAGGTAGATGCACTGCTCTGGGGGCCTTTGGCTACACGGTAGAATTATTGCTCTTCCTCCCTGCTTACCTTGTGAGGTTTGGGGTTTCTGGCTGTCACCTGTGTGGAACAGGAGTGACTCGATATTCTAGCTCAACAGCAATCAAAATCTGGCTGCAGAGGAGGTGCAGCCTGGGGATCCTCTTCTCACTCCATCCTGAGGGCTCAGTCAAGGAGTGGGGAGAGCTCTCGCATAGAAAGCAGAAGATCTGCTTCTGATGTCAGCTGCAGGACTGTGGGGAGAAGCCCTCCCACCCCTGGGCCTTGTTTTCTCACCTGCAAAGAGGGAGAATGACTTCAGAGGACTCTTTCATCGTGAACCATTGAGTCATTTCAGCTGTAATCATTCATGCCTTGGTCCTGGGGAAGGGTCACAGCTCTCCCACCTGATTGGGGACTGCTCTCATCTGGACTTGGGGTGGTCCCAGGAGCCCCTGTCGCAGATGCTGGAAGCTTCCATTGGAGACTTGGTTTTTTTGGACTCTAGACTTTTATTTTTTTAAGGGAGGCTATGTGAAAAACCTCCTCTAGCCGGGCTCGGTGGCTCAGCCTGTAATCCCACGCCTTTGGGAGGCTGAGGTGAGTAGATTGCCTGAGCCCGTGGGTTTGAGACCCGCCTGGGCA